TGTAGGAAAATCTAAGATGATGAAATGCAGGAGAGGAGGAGGACGGGGGAAGGAAGAAGAATTCGAATGGGAAGGTGAGAAGATAGAGATGGTTAAAGAATATAACTACTTGGGATATATGATAAGCAGAAATAACGGAAATGAAAAGCAGATAAAGAAGATAGGGGAAAATAAATATGGGACTCGGAAAATTGGGAGTTAAGGACGAACCTGTTCGACGCAATAGCGAAAAGGGTGATTATGTATGTAGTAGAAATTTGGAGATGGAAGAGATATGATGAAATAGAGAGATTTCAACTAAAATACATAAAGTGGGTATTGATTAGATAGAAACACGTTAAGTTACTTACTACGATGGGAAACAGGAAGACAAGAGATGAAAGAAACAGCATTAGAAAGAGCAATGAGGTATGAAAACAAAATAAGAGAAGAAAGAGATGGCTCAATAAAAAAAGAAGCATGGAGAGAACTAAAGGAAAGGGAAAGAAATGAAAAAGATAAAAAGGGTAAGTAGGAGAGAGAGGAAAGGCAAAAAAAAAAGTAAAATATATATATATATTTAGAAAAAAGTAAAATATACAGAGAGAGGGAAGAGGGAGACGAAATGAGATAAGAGTTTTGAGAAGAAATAAGAGGCGATAAAGAAAAAAAAAAGGATCTAGAAGAAAAGCTTGAAAAGTCAAAATACATAAAGGAGTGGAAAGAACTGGAAGAAGATTGAAAAAGTATAGATTAAAGGAAATTCAAGGAGAGGGAAGAATAAAAGGCCTACAAATAAGGGAAAGGTTTAGGTTAGACAATGATACGATAGGAAGCAGGTATTGGGAAAAATAAGAAAATAAGAGACACGGAATGTGTATGAAAGAGGAAGAAAATTGGAAGCACATAGTAGAAAAATGTGAAAAATGCAAAAAGGAAGGGGATGAATGGGAAAAAATAATAATAGGAAGTAAAGAAAAGATAGCGTGGATGATGGAGCTGAAATGGAAAAGAACAAGAAACAAAGAGGAGAGAGAAAAAGAAAAACAAAAAGACGAAATTACAAGACCCTAAGGAAAACAAGTGAGGCTGAGGAAAAGAAAGGTAGAGAGAAAAGTAAGAAGGAAGGCAGAACGGACGAGAACAGAAGACAGAGACACAAGATTTGCAGACACACCTACATACGCACACATATATATAAAACACGCACACACAAAACACACACATTAGCAACCACACGAACTGGACACGAGACACAAATAGTGAAGTACGAAATGTAAAGCAAAATGTAAAAAAAGTTGAAATAAAATAATATATATATTATTATAGATTCAAGTAGCATACGAAAATACCTTTGAGATAGAAAAGATTTTTTTTTACTATAAATTAAAGTGGAAATTGTGATTTTTTTCGTCTTATAAACTAATTTTTTTTTATAAATTACATAAAATTGGTGTAAATTGTTTGGGATTCATATTAAAAAATACGAAATTTCAATAAATATTAATTTCCATATTTTATTGTGCAAATTGGGGAGGATAGACGATATTCAATGAAATTCTCATGAAAGAATCAGACTGTAGAGAAAAAATACTACAAAAAAAAAAAAAAATTCTACCATATTTAGAAGTGGTGTAAATTAATTATACAACTAAGGTAGCTCGAAAGCCTCGAAGCCGTGAGAAGGAGAAGAAAGATCCTTTTTTTTTTAATGAAAGTTCTTTCAATTACCAATCGAATAAATTTTATTAGATTCCATTATGTTTATTCCTTCATTGTTAAATTCTATTTTACAATGAAGCAATTTTAGTCTTTCGTCTTTTTCTCGCAAAATAATTATCGAAAAATTATCAAATTTTTTCTACCGATAGATTTTATCGTCCTTCTTAGGTTAAAGTTGGTCTTTTTTACGAAATCTGGTCAGGACGGCCGCGGTACACCGTCAGAGTTGAAAGTTTGTCGCGCTCTAGCTCGTAAGCAATTAACTTTCAAAAAATCAGACTGGCTTCTTATTATACGTTTTTTAAAGAAAAAAAAATTTTTTTTTTTTTACTGAAAGTTTAGACAAAATTTATTGAAAATTAAAGAAGATATAAGCGTTTGTATTTTTTTTTGCAATCTTGGAAACAACCCAAGACATTGTTATTAATAAAAAAAATTTAATTTTCGAATATGCTTATCCTTATGTAGAATTATCTTAGGAATCGAATTTCTTTGAGCTTATATCGATAGGATAATTAGGAAAAAAGATATAAGGGAATAACTAAAAACTGCCTTTTTTGCAATAAATCGTTAATAAAATAATGTTCCGGAAACTTTTGGAAATCAAAACTATTTTTCCAATCATCTACGTGTTATTCCGCGTCGAAATAAAAAAATCTCGCTGTTCGCAAAAAATACGAGGTCTGTCCGGAAAGTATCGGGCCTACGTTTATATCTTCGCGCCATAGTGTTCGAGCGATCTCTACCGGACAGAAATGTTAACAGTAAAGCCACACGAATCTATTGGTTACTTACTGACACCTGCCGGACGTATAGTTCATGCGCAGCGTGTCTTTGTTTACAGTGCCTTTTCCGCGTTCGTCGGATTTTGATATTGTCAAAAATGATTGAAAAACAAGGTCAACGAATTTGCATCAAATTTTGCTTTCAACTCGGAAAAACGAGTTCGGAAACTATTGAAATGATGCAAAAGGCCTTCGGAAGCGAGTGTATGAGCAAAACACGAATAAAAGAGTGGTATAAACGGTTCAAGGCTGGTCGCACTTCTGTCGATAGTGATTCTCGTTCCGGCCGACCTTCGACGACAAAAACCGCAGATAATATTGAGCGGGTGCGACTTGCAATCGAACAAGGTCGTCGTATGACTGTGCGAGAACTAGAAGAATACCTTGGGATACCAAAAACTATAATTTCAGAAACTTTAACCGAAAATTTCGGAATGAAACGCGTGTGTGCGAAATTCATCCCAAAATTGCTCACAGCAGAGCAGAAGGACATTCGCTTAGAAATCGCTCTGGACAATCTGGAAATGGTCAATAATGATGATAATGTGCTTAGAAAAGTTATTACAGGTGATGAATCATGGGTTTGTGGTTATGATCCTGAAACAAAATAACAATCTTCACAGTGGAAGTATTCTGAATCGCCAAGAGCAAAAAAAGCACGTCAAAGTCGGAGCAACATTAAGTCAATGTTGATTGTTTTTTTCGATTGCGAAGGTGTTGTACATCACGAATATGCACCAACAGGTCAGACAATCAATAAAGAATACTACGTTCAAATTTTAAAACGTTTGCATGATGCAGTAAGAACAAAACGGCCGCACTTTTGGGAAAGTGGTGACTGGCTTCTCCATCACGATAATGCGCCAGCGCATTCATCCAATCTTGTGCAGCAGTTTTTGAGCAAACACAATATCGCATTGCTTCGACAACCTCCATACAGTCCCAACATAGCCCCTTGTGACTTTTGGCTGTTTCCAAAACTAAAAAAACCACTCAAAGGACACCGATTCGATGACAAAAGAACGGTTGAAAACAATGCGACGAGTGTACTTAAGGCTATCCCTAAAAGTGAGTTCCAGGACTGTTTTGAAAAGTGGAAACATCGATGGAACCGTGTTATTCAATCAAGTGGGGAATACTTTGAAGGATGCCACCCTCCAGATGATAAAGAATAACGCTAGCACGAACAATAAAGGTAAACCCGATACTTTCCGGACAGACCTCGTATGAAAGACAAATTCACCCCTTTAGGAATAAAATTATGATGTTTATGTACGTCGTTTGGATATTTGTTGAATTTTCAAATTTACTATGGTAAAGAAACAAAAAGAGTAATGAAGAATTAGGTGCTTGTAGTCTTATATCCAGAGTATTTATAAGAATGCTAGGACATTTTTTAAAAACAGTTACTATTGATGAGTGAAAAAAATATCACGTAACTTTTAATAATTTTTTTACAAGTCCAGATTTTTTGATACAACTTCATAAACTAAAAATAAGAGCAACTGGTACAGTTAGACAAAATCTTGTTTATGAAATAAAGACCACAAATAAGAAAACATAGGTGTTCAGTAATAGTTGAGCTAAAAAAGAAAAATGATCGGGGTTCTTATGAATTAAAACATGATCAAAATAGTAATTTGAATTATATCACTATCAAGGATTCAAAAGTTGTTTCTCTTCTATCATGTGTTGCATGCGTTACTTCTCTCATCAACATAGGTGGACTACATAGAAAAAGATAAAGTTGATCTTCATAATTAACATTGCAAGGATCTTCAAATACGTATAAGAAGTCGAAAGTGAGCTTAGTATGTATTTTTATGACTCATAGAGTCATCAATCTTTAATGCTTTTGTACTTTGGAAATGATGCGTGAAAAATAGAAAAAGTGACTCTAGAGAATTTGCTTTAGATACGATTTGCTCGTATTTTAACGTTTTCTTTGAGAAAAGCATCCAAGACAAAGTTTTTCTCTCACAAGTTAAATAATAGTTATATTCGAAGGCAATGTAATATCTTCACTAAGAAAATAGAATAGTGTTGTTTTCATTATAAAGAACAGATGTTCAACGTGTATTGCTGATTTTCATCATACTATAATGTAAATTCTATAAATTCTATACATCTATAAGGTTTCAATCAATTATAAAGTCACTTTAACGATAAAGTTACGAGTCATACTTAAATTAAGTCCATACCACATTTTGTTTAACTCGACTCACACTCTCTTTAACCCTTTGCGGCATAGTAGTAAGTATACTTACCACCTTTTTGAAATGAGATTTTCATGTATGAAGGGCTCTAATAAATCGTTGCTCACGGGGATTTTTAATATTTTATCCTTCTAATATGTTAATGAATGTATAACTATATCAAATTATCGATTTTTAGTCGCCATTTTTTAAAAAATGGCTGAAAAGTGCACCAAAATGACGATTATTGTTTCAAAAATGTGTCGCAAAGGGTTAAAAATTTCTTAATGTGTAATTAATAAAACGAAGACTCAAAAAATGATGGTATTTTGCATAAAATATTATGTCTACATTTTTATTTTATATAAAATTAGTAACACAACGTAATATAATAATAGTGTTACAAATTAGGACCGCCTGAATCCATGAGTTGTAGGCTGAGTAATTTGAAGTCCTGGGATATTAGTGAATTCTAACATTTTCAACATTTCTTTAGTTTCTGCGTCAACTTCAATAATATCATGCTCTAAGGCTGAAACTTCTGGGACATAATTATCTCTGCGTTCTCTTTCTTCTTCTTGTAATTTTATGGAAATTCCACGAACTTGGCTATGGCGAAGTCTCTTCATTAGTAAGGTAACAAATCTGAAAAGAAAATTACTAGCATTATTTTGATATCAACTTTATACAAATAATTACTATATTATGGTGAAATATTATAATGTTTAGTGTTTCTTGAAGCTAGTCTATGGAAACGTCATTTAATCAAAGATTTTTCAACCTTATTTAATTTTATTGAGTAAATTTTTCCTATTCAACCTTTTACAAAGAATCGGCGAATAACATTCAACCCTTAAATTTTTTTTTCTAAGAAAAGTACAATTCTATGTTAGATGCTTAAAAAATTTTTGGCTAAAAAAATAATCCAATTGACTACATTTTGAGTACACTGCAACAGATTTTAGAGCTTTCTTATTCTACCAATCTTTAAGTGAACATTCGGAATCGAAAAAACTGCAGTACGAGGACTTACGAACATCACTATTTCGCATCTACGTACATACACACGCGCACACTTGCGCTTTTAATCAAACACATAACCATGCCTATGAAACGCGGCAACCAGGAAACATTAATTTATATAAAAATAACTATATCTCAGTTATTTATGCACGAAATTTGGCAAAAAAAATTTGAATAACCAACAATAGTTATTTTCATTTATGATTTCGTTCATTTACATGTGGTTATGGACGTGGACCAGGAGATACCATCAATGACGATAGATGAACTGACGAGGGCCTGCAAAAAGGTGGGAAACCTGAAGGCACCAGGCCCGGATGGTATACGGAATATAGCACTGAAGGTGGCTATCAAAACTGCCCCAAACATGTTCCTGAACATGTATGGCAGGTGCATACGGGAGGGATCATTCCCAAACAGATGGAAGAAGCAGAAGCTGGTACTTCTCCTCAAAGGGAAAAATCCAGCGGATGAACCATCATCATATCGACCGCTCTCTATGCTTGATACGGCAGGAAAGATCATCATTCACAGAAGGATTGAGGTGATATCGGAGACCTACCTAACAGGTAACCAATACGACTTCCGGAAAGGCCGATCTACACTCGACGTTATCGAGCGGGTGACCAGTATCGCTAGGTCCGCTATTTCTAGTAAGAGGTGGAAAGGGGGAGACAAGAAGTACTGTCTTATTGCTGCCCTCGACATCAAGAATGCGTTCAACACAGCGAAATGGGATCGCATAATGGACGGGCTAGTGACAATGAATGTACCAGGGTACCTGCAAAAGATGGTGGCTAGCTACTTCACCAATAGAATTCTGAAGTACGAGACAGAAGAGGACACTAAGGAGTACCGGGTGACGGGGGGGGGGTACCTCAGGGTTCGGTTCTTGGACCGCTCTTGTGGATCATCCTATACGACGGTTTGTTGCGACAGACACTGCCGAGAGTAGTAACACCGGGGGCGTTCGCAGACGATATCGCCTTGGTTATTATAGGAAAACATAAAGAGGACCTCGATATCCTTTTTGGAGTGACGATCGCAAGGTACCAGAAATATTTAGAGTATTTAGGTTTGACATTAGCGGAACACAAGACAGAGGCAGTCCTGATAACAGGCAGGAAGGTGATAGGAACGGTCACCTTACAAGCCGGTAGACACCAGATTGTCTCCCGATCGGCCATCCGATATCTGGGGATGATGATAGATGCTCGATTGAATTTTAAACAGCAAGTAGAGAGCGTAGCAGAAAAGGCATCAAATACTGGAAGAGCACTAGCGAGACTGATGCGGAATATAGGAGGTCCCAAGCAAAGAAGAAGGGCTCTACTGACGACGGAGATCACATCGATCATCACGTATGCTATTGCATTGTGGTCAGAGGCGCTGAAGAACAAGGATTCTCGCAGAAAAATCGAAGCAGCGTACAGATACAGCGCACTGCGAGTAATCAGCGCATTTCGGACGGTCTCCAGAGAGACGGCAGAGGTTATCGCGCGACTGCTACCATTAATTGAGCTAGCCGAGGAGAGAAGGCGCATTTATTACCGAAGGGAGAAGGATGTCAAAGCGAACCCGAGCAAGAAGGAAGAGAGGAAAAGAAGCATTGAACGTTGGCAAATCGCTTGTGATAGAACAAAGAAAGGTAGGTCGACTTATCGCCTTATCCCGAGTATCGAAAAGTGGATACATCGCACACACGGCCAGGTAAACTATCATCTAACTCAGATGCTGACTGGCCATGGATGCTTTCGAGCATACCTGTACAAATACAGGTATGAGGACACGCCAGAGTGTCCGACCTGCAAAGGAGTAAGTGAAGACGCCGAGCATGTCTTTTTTGCATGCCAGAGGTATGATACACGACGGAAAGAATTGGAACTCACGGTGAACGCAGCTGTTACACCAAATATAGCATAGTAGAGCTGATGCTTTCCTCGGAGAAAACATGAGCAGCAGTGACAACCTTCGCAATGGAAGTTCTCCAAGAACTACGATGCAAAGAGCAGAAGAGGACGAGACTGAGGACATCAGATTAGACAGAAGATAAGAAGAAGGAAATGACGGAATAAAAATCATAAAGAAGAAGTGATAAGGAAGGAATAGCGGATAAATAGCTAACACCTCCCCCGGGAAGTAGTACCTAACGGCAGTTCCCCGAGGGATCAAAGGATCAGGAGAAAGAGGACTTCAGGCTTCGGCCTTGGTCGGAGAATGAAGGGGTTTTAGTCAGTATGACACACGGTGGTGCTGGGGGTGAGGAGGTCGGGGAGGTGAACGCTTACACGGTCACATCCTAAACCCACGTCATAGCCAACCCGTTAAGGTCGGTGCGTTCGCAATAAACGGACAGATTTTACCCTTCACCTCTATAAACACACACACACACACACACACACACACACACACACACACACACACACACACACACACACACACACACACACACACACACACACACACACACACACACACACACATACACACACACACACACACACACACACACACACACACACACACACATACACACACACACACACACACACACACACACACACACACACACACACGGACCTACATAGTAGTCTAAGTGGGCGGGGAGGTGAACCCCGATGTGGCGCGTCCCAGGTGGCGGATAGGGAGGCTCGCTTGCTATTGGCTTGCCAATAGTGGGAGGATTTGAGGGAAATAAAATACCTCTCGCAGACCAAACACAAACCCTGTCCAGGGTTACGGACTAGGAGTAGGAGCTCCGAATATAAACCAATCATGGCGAGTACAACTCGAAGAGAACCGTTTACGATGCAAGGGAGGGATACCCTAGTACCGGCGCCTGGTGAGAGTGAGCAAGCGGGCTCCCCGACGTCGTCATCCCATGACCGCAGTGCTGCAGGGGTTGGTCACTCGGCCCCTGTAGTATCTAATGCTACAAGTGACGTAGAGAATGGCTCTGCTGGCAAGCTTCAGCAACTCGAGGAGGCAATAGAGGAGCGAAACCCTACCAGCGCAGTGGCAAGCTTGGCTGGGCTGACAGTAAATGCTACAAGTGTAACACAGAAGGAACTAATCTGGCTGAAACGCTGGAAGGATATAGAGCAGAGTGAAAGGGCTGAACAGAACCTGTTTGACCAGCTAGAAAGGAAGATGACAGAAATCCACGAGATTACGAAAAATGCGAATAATATCTATAAAGCGGTGAAGAATGGACAGGAAGCCGCAATGTCACTATAAAGGCGATATGTCACGATAAAGGCTAAAAAGTAGCCGCAAGAAGAACCAGGAAGATAAAGCTCAGTTCAGAATTGAACTAGAGAAGACAGCTCAACAACCTGAAGGAAATAAGGGACAGAAGAGGGCAGCAGCTAGCCCACCCATTGCGAATAGAACATCGAAAGTGATCATCACCGGCAACCGAGGTAAACGAATGATAGTTGAACCAGAAGCGATGCGCCAAGCTAGCCTTGAGAAGACTCAACCAACAAATGGCACATCACAAAGAGTATCGGAGGTCCAAAACAAGGATGCTGGAACCCCAACCACCCAGCAGCAGCCGATCGGCACGACGCGAGTCGACAACGCCAAGGGTGTCACCGCCAAGGAGAAGGCTTCCAAGGCCCAAAGCAGAGGCGGTCCTTATAAGGAAGCCTAAGGACAGCGATACAAGCTATGCTGAAATGCTGAAGCTGTTAAAGAAGAATGCTAATAACGAGGAAGTCGGGTCCAAAATAGGAAAGATACGAGAAACCAGAGATGGGAACGTGCTCTTGGAGCTCATAAAAGGTTCCAAGCTAGAAGACGTGAGCGGTGCCGTACGTACGGCTGTCGGTGATCAGCTAACTGTGAAGGCCTTAGTACCATCAGTTACGCTCGAAATCCGAGACCTTGAAGCCGGAATCACAGAAAGCGAGGTTAAAGGAGCCATCTTGACAGCTCTTGAAGCAGCCACACCAGAGCAAGTTGAGGTGAAGAGCCTTAGAGCAGGACCCAGAGGATCAAGAATAGCTATAGCGACAGCGCCAAGAGCTACTGCTGCTGAAAAGATATTAAAATCAGGCAGGATTAGAGTGGGATGGGTGAATGCCTCCGTCCGAGAAAAGAGGATAATCTCGAGATGCTATAAATGCTTAGCATTTGGACATATCGCATCGGAGTGTCCAAAAAGGAACGAGATTCAGGAAAACCTGTGCTACAGATGCGGAGAACCTGGCCATTTAGCTGCTGGGTGTGAAAAGCAGTACAAGTGCCGACCCTGCGAGGAGATCGGAGAACCTTACGATCATAGGACGGGGGATGCTAAATGCGTCGGGCTTCGAATAGCTAGGGAGAAGCTGGATCGAAAGCAAGGAGATGGCAAACGCTCCTAAAGTCGATATCCTGCAGATTAACCTCAATCGATCTAGAGAGGCACAAGATCTGGCCATTCAGACCGCGAGGGAAAGAGGAGCGGATATTCTCCTAATTTCGGAGCAAAACCGGAGTATGCTCGACAGTATGTGGTACAGAGATGGAAGAGGCGATGCAGCAATCTACGTCTGCAATAGCGAATGGTACAACGTCAAAGAATTGGCATCTGGAGAGGGGTACGTGGGAGTCGTAATAGGACAGCTAGCTATATT